TGTTGACCCTTCCCCCATATTTTGGTCCCAAATCTTGTCCATGCTTATACAGTAATATTCGGTTTATTTTACAAAATATCCTTGAAAACGTAACGCTTATTTTATGAATTTAGGTATGGCTTCAGGTATACATATGTAAACATTTTGGGGACAGTCTACAACCAAGGCCATCATGATTTGAAACCTGTTTAGTTTCTAAACTTCGACATTCAGACATTTCTGGAGTATTGAATATGTTTTGTACCACAAGTCAATATTCTTATGTGTAGTGTTTTCATAAAGTTAAACCTATCTTTGGTTCATTTAAATGAGTTCAGAATTGCATAATGTACCTAAAAACACTGCTTTTCACGATTAATGATAACTTAATGAATAAACGTGAGTTGTTTTCAAAGTAACAGGTACTTATTATGAAGATTGTTCTATAATATAGTGTAAAAATATCACCAAAAGAAAGTACAAGTATTTGAAAATAATCGCTGAACAGTCTTTGCTCTGTAACAAAAAACAACAACTAACTAACTAACTAAACTTTCAAGCTTGATAAATTGAATGGTTAGAATATCTAACGTATCTACTTGTATTTTTTATTATTTCTAATTTAGTATTATATTTTTTATATTGTATTATAACAATCATTCTGCATTGGTAAATTAGTAAAAAGATTTAGGACTAACCTAAGCCTCCTGGACTGACAGAATCTCATGAGATATTATTTGGTTTACGGCCGAAAATATTGTTAACAGCGAGGGTATCTAGTTAATAAAACGATGTAAAGTAATCATTATAAGTAAGGTAATATATTTAATTAGCTATACTCATATATAGGTATATAATTTTAGTTCTGACCTATGTGGATTGCTTGCTTTGATCAGAAGAGAATAATAATTGCGCTGAAGTGAATTAGTTATACTTTGGTTTCATGTGTTTTAATCTTAAACATAGAATTAAGACACTACATTTGCGAGTTTAAGTAAGCCAAACTTGTATATTGAACTTGTATACATACCTTTTGAGAGTGTATGTGTGTAACCCATTCAAAATGTTTTCAGTTAAGACCCCTTACAGAAATTAGCCCATTCTTCTTTAAATTATTTCTGATTGTGACATAAGACTACTTTAATAAGTAAAGTAATTAAAGATATATATATATCTATAAGACTAGTAAAGCCGCGGGCCTATGGCCCACATTCACAGGGCCTCTATACTGCAAGTTTAATGCTTGAACTACTATTTTGCTCATTTTCAGTATAATGATCATTGCCGCTACAATGCAAGTTTAATTCACAAGTTACGAACAGTAATTAATAGGCCTTCTTATTTACGTGCTCTAATGTAAATCAATGCCAAATTTGAGGTTCGCTTTTGGGGAATCTCCGTAAAAATGTTTTCGCAAAATACCTGGGTTCCCTAGAGGGTTGGGTGAAAAGTGTCACCTTTGTGCAAACTTCGGGGCCGAGACAATTTGTTTAGCACCACTTAGAAGTTGGTGCGACCAGCAGTTT